CCACTTCAACCAATTTAATCATCTCCATCAAACTCTAATTAATCATCCATCTCATCTTAGCTTTAAAACGCTAATTAATCTCGTGATAAAATGGACAACAACTCTAATTCACCACCCACACCTTCTAGTGTATCCGCTTCCTAACAATCAACGTGCCAACTCTCATCTCCTTAGATCAGTGATCCTAATTGTGGTTATGAAAGTGACCCTGATTGTTGGTATGTTCCAGCCCCATCGATAATACACCTCAACCTGAATTCCCTCGTCGATCTCGAATCATCTCCAAAGAAAATTCTGAACTTAAAACAGTTACATTCACCTCGCCTCTTGTTCATCAACAATCTGCTCTCAAACGTTCCGTTTCAATAGAATCCTGGATTCAATCGCCTCATCCAAAACAATTAAAAGAATCACCCTTAGGAATCCCATGGAGGAAGAAAATCAAGGTAAGGTCGTGGCTTTGCCAAGTACTTCTCGTTCTGAACCTTCTTCTTCTTCTTCTGAATTTCCGAATAAATATCCAAAACCTTTCGAATATCCAATCATCTACAGTAATGAAATCCCTGCCTCTTCCATTAGAACTTCCTTCTCATGCTTCAATTGAGAATTTATGAAAATCAAAGCTGCCGTCGCAATGAAAATAAAAATTTAAAACAATTAAAGAAAAGTTCGAGCGAATGATTCGCGAAAAATTTACTAAATCTTTACAAGATGATTCCATCTATTCAATCCCTCTTCCAAAAATACCTAAAGGTATTTCACGAAATTCAATTATTCATGAGAAATTAGATAGTTTCATCAATGAAATTCGCTGCTATTTCTGCGAACAAGTTGCTCTTCTTCCTCTCGAATGCAAATTCTGTAATCATTGGTATTGCACCAATTGTGTTATTTTACTCAATTTAATTGCAACCCTTAAGTTAACCCTCCATCACATCTAACAAAATTCATTTGTTTGTTTCAAATTGCCTTAAGAACTTTGCCTCAATAGACGATTATCCAACTTATGGTCTCGTCTTGTTCTCAAACTTACGTTAATTATCGTAATTGTAAGTTCAATTGTAGGTATACTCTTTGCAGTCAGCTCAGCCCTAATTTATTTGAAGCTCATGAATCCAAATGTAGATTAGGATTATTTAGAAGAGTAGATCTTAATGCAATCCTCTTTTCTGGGCTTCAGTCCAAGAACTTTCCTCAATCACTCCCAAGCGTCTAATTAGCTTCATTCCGCCCCATGTTAAGTTAGCACTCAGTCTCAATCTCATACTCAACTCATTTGATTATGAACAAAATTGAGTTGTATGCTTGCTTGTTAGTTAACAAGGAAGAAAATCCAAATGACCCTCTCTTATCGGACACCAACATTCGTTCTCATGCGAATCTTAGATTAGTTTTGGGAAACTTTTAAAGAAAAGACCCCTCTTCCCTATCCGAAATGAAGATTCGTCCGCTCAGTAGGCTTCCTCCCGTTCTCTCTTACTTGCATCCCGACCTCGAACTACTTGGTCAACCAAGAAAAATCCAATCCCTCATTACCTTCTCACCGACTCAGAAGAATGGTTAAAGTTACGAGAAGGAAAGGCAAAACGCGATCTGCCTTGTTCACCCATCAGAACTTCCCCTGATGCTGGTCATCCAATCACTCCTACACCACAATTGACCTCTTTCTAGATTAGGAAGAGCAAAAAGAAATTAAAAATAAAATCAAAGAATGGTTTCCATCTCTTCGAGAATTGGTCACCTTCACCCAAGACTCTAACACATCCAACCCGCTTCGACTCGAATACAGAGTCAACAGGAAAAATAAAGCGGCCGTGATCTTCAATTCCCTAGTGGAACAACAAGTTGAAGACCTTAACCCTGGTCAACAAGAACTTTTGACCAAACAAATTCGTGACCACCCTGATCCATCCAACGTCTACTCCATTAATGCTGCCTATGTAAGAATCTACAGATTCAGTCCAGAAGGAGTTCGAAAACTCGTTCATCAGCCAGTATGGATCACAATAATTGACGGAAATTGTGAAACCGTTTATGAAACATTTGTTCATTATAAAGACGTTCATTCCATGGATACCTATTATCATGGACTCAAAAAGGAAGACTTGAAATTTGCTAAGCATCTTTCCTCAGTTAGAGATCAAGTTCTCTGTTATCTCGCCTGTGCCCGAAAATGGTGCTGGTCTTATAACCCTCTTAAAGTCTTAACCTTACCCCGACGAAATTGACATTCTTCGACCAAAGATGCGAGATGTCACTATTTACTTCTCTCCTACAGAACTTCACCCGCTTCATTATCTCTCTTGCCTTCATTCTCTTTTCAGGCTACACCATTAGAGCTCAACCCATTCACCCGCCATCGAATCTCACCGCCATGAGAATGTATATGTTTTCTGGCAAGACATTGAAGAAAAGTTCTGGAGACTGGACGTGGAATCCATAATGAATCCATTCAACATTATGAGAAACGATAAAGTTTCATCTCCACCGAAAACTAAGTGATCTAGTCAAAGCTCGGAAGCCCGTTGGCCAATCGATTGGAGTTATTTCCAACATCACCGAATCCCTGAGTACTCAGAATTCACTTGTGTCTCTCCGCTCCATCACCTCTCATCATCATCATCATCATCATCATCATCTTCATCATCAACTTCATCAATCTATGAACCAAATCTCACACTCCTATTCAAAATCGTAGACCCTCCGAATCAACCAAGAAAAGAAAAAATCATCCTAGCCTATCAGCTCAAAATAGCAAGAAAACTTATTCATTGGTTTCAACCAAGGAAGTGAAAAGCCCCTCACCGAAAATTCCCTCAATCTCATCTTCATCATCATCTTCTCCGAATTCAGCCCTAGACAAGAACTTTCAAATTAGTTCATTAATCTCTGATCCACCTTCAACCTTTGGTTCTCTCAACAGCTCTCAAGATCCAAGGAAAATCCCACCAAGCCCGACTACTCCGACTTCTTACACACACCACCGGTTCATTACCTCCATCCCCGAATCCATCACCACCAAATCAAAATAGGATTCCAAAGGAAACCCTGAAGAAGTATCTTCATCAAAGTGCTGGGGACTGAAGGTGAAAAACATGAAATCCTCAGTCTTTCCTTTTCATCACTATTATGATTTGGAAACAAATTTAAAACTTTCTAAATTTTTATTCTGTTCTCAACAATTAGTTAATTGTTGTAATTTTCTTAATTTCAATTCTTAAATTTCCCCATTGTTAAATTGGTTAATCCTCCCATAACTATAGTTATAATTTGCTTAATTGTTGTTCATCAACCAATCTAATTGTTTAGTATCCTAACAATTAATTGAAGTAATTATAAAATCCGAAATTAAGTAACCAATTGTAATTAATCAAAATTTCACTCTATACCTAAAGATATGATTATAGATTAATTTAGTTGAAAATAATTGACTAATTTTCTTAATTGTATCAACCCAAATCTCTTCATCTTAAGATGACCAAAATTTGGTTACAAAAGTAAGAGACCCGATTTTCTCTTTCTATCCCTCTTTCTTTTTTCTTTCTTTTGTTTTTTAGAAATTACCATTGTCAAGCCTAAAGGCTTATCTTAAGTTTAACTCATCATCTTTTGATAACAGGTTAACTATTGTTCATCTTTGTCGAGACTCAAGGCAAAGTTTCTTTGTATTTAGATTAACCTTATCACTAATATGATTTTGTTTAATTCAATTTCCCTTTTTCTTTATTTTAATTTGTATCCCCTTCTCATCTTTAATTGATTTCCCCTTTAATTGTTACCCCTTGTTTCTTTATTCTAAAAAGAACAATTTTTCCCTCAATTTCTTCAGTGATTGTTTAAGTTTAGAAAACGCTTATTCAAGTATCTCTTTATTACAATTGCTCTTATTAAAATTTCAATTAAGTTTCAATTCAAATCTTCTTACAATTAATTTTATTGTTAATCTGAATTCTCAAGAATTATCGAGTTTAAACACTAGTGCAACATTGAGATCAATAGATCAAGTTGAGTTAATCGTCAAGGTCCTAAAAAGTCTTGTATTCGGTTAGTTTTGTGGGACCGAAAATCTTCTGTTTCCTCTCCAGCCTAAAGACTTAATCTGAGTTTCATCTCAATCAATCTGAGTTTCATCTCAATCTCAATCCATCGATCTAAGTGATCATCTAAACCTCATCATCTCATATTTTCCCACAATGATGATGGTGTAAGTTTACTGGTCATTTTATTTATGTTTTTTTCGGTACCTATCATCATCATGACCATCAACTATCATCAACATGATGATTATGATGATAATCGTAATGATAATGATAGTTTTAACAAAGAGAGAGAGAGAGATAAACATGTAGACTAAAGGAAATGTTTACAGAAAAAAAATACTGACCATCATGATGGTGGACATAATGTCCCTCGAAAAGGTTAATCTAATGGGAAAATAAAACTTTGTTCCACTTGAATAAAATGTCACCTAAATTCCCACCTTCCACCTTACACTTCCTGTTCATCCTCATGACAATCTTTAAAAAAAGATGAACATGATTAGTTGTATATTTTTTTTAGGAATAAACTAAATGGTGATAAAGTTTTGCAATTTGATTCCTATTTGTCTAACCTTGTAAATCAGAATCAACAAGAATCACCAAGTAAAGTTAAAGATGATTGAATGACCAAATCATCATCATTATGATTTTAGAGGGAAAACATTTTTACTGTTATATTGTGTAATTTACAGGGGATTTCATGGTAAGTCAATAACATTAACTGAGTCAATTTTAGTGAGAAAATTGTTTATCAGATAAATTCTGATTTTTACCAACACTAAGAAAACCATTAAGCCATGATAAGGATTTTTTTTCGCATTTTCTGAATTAGTTTGTAAAAAATACTGAACCAAATGTTATAATATTTATCAGATGATTTTGATAATTCTGAAGCATTTTGATGTGAATTATTAGATTGGAATGAGTTGAAGAAACTTGAGTATTAATTGTAATTCTTACCGTAATTACTGATGTATTTACGTAATGATTGCTGTATTTTGATGATGTATTGGCTAACCAATTAGCTACCCAAGGATGCTGGTCACTTGTGATACTTAAGTTAATATCTAGAATTAATTTCATCCCTTTTGAATGAAGTTCAGTCACTAAATTATTGAGATCACCAATTTCACCTAAATGAGGATCAAGTCGTGTAAAGTTAATTACATTTTCATACGAATAGGGATAATCCAAAGCGTGAAATATTGAATTCAAACGGATTATGGTCACACCTAAATCACGCAGGTAAGATAACTTTTCATGAATACCTTTAATATCACCAAAACCATCAGAATCTGAATCTTTAAAGGAGGCAACAAAAATCTCATAAACTAAGGCATCGTGCCACCATTTTGCTCCTTCACTGCCCAATGGTCCATATAAAGAAGATGAGGATGAAGATGATCCAGACGATGGAGATAGAGATGGAGATGAATAACCATGAGAAGCAAATTTAAAGGGTTGAAAGTTAATCAAACTATTCCAAAGTGGAAACTCTGACAAAGTTAATAGACCAAAGAAAAAGATGGTGAAGGCACTGGTCAAGAGAGTACAGATTAATATCAATGAGAAACGAGTTTTACTAATTGGACAGCCGAAAAATGATCTTTGGCCTGTTGATGATGAGGGCGATTCGTTGGCACGATGAGAGTCAAGATAACGACGACGTATGTTTGAAGACATTGAGCTGTGAACTTTTGACCAAAAAGTTTCACTTTCAGATGAGGTTAAAGTAACTGGACTTGTGGGCTTAAGGTCAGTGTAACTTATGTCACTCACTTGATATTTATTGGACATTTCAATCATTGTTGTCAATGGATTGGGATGATGAGGATGATTTTGCTGTTGATGATGGTGTAAGGATGATAATTTATCTGATTTATATGTCATCTCATAGCCAACAATTGAATCATCAATATTATTATTATCAAGTAAACGGGTTGAACTACATGCATCCGATTCACTGGATGATGATTTACATAGAGCGTTAATTGGTAAGTTAACTGTTGAAGAAGTGATCAAAATTGATGATTCTTTAATTGAATCAGTTAAACTTGTTTCAACACAATCAATTAAATTGTCACATTTATTTTCATCCGAATTGTAAAAATAGATTCTCGATTTTTCCGTATGCTTATAAAGATCGGGAGTCTCATCGAAATGAACATAATTCAATTGAGTTGGAACAAAAAGTTCCGTTGATTTCTCAGGATCCATGGTAATCAAATGGTCACCAAGATGTATATTCCGATTCCAGATTTGTTAGTCACACAATCAACTTGTTAATTTGGTATTTAGAAATTAACAGAGCCACAATTAAAACCACTTAAATGTAACATGTAACATAATAAGGTAATGATAACTTGTCCCAAATCTGTAATTAACAAAAAAAAAGGTAAACAAAATTTTCAATTAAATTGTTACTCATGTTAATCAGTGAATGAAAAACTAGTTAATTAATCTTTAAGAAACTCATTAACTAAACTTGTTAAACTGTGATCAGAATTGATGAATGATAACTGGGAGGTTAATATAACTATTATACATACATAAAACCAGTTCTGAAAACTTTTAATAATTAATCAAAGTGAATGTTGTTATCATGATAACAGAGTCAAAGTTATTTACATGATCATCTTATTGTTTGTAAGATAATCAGATAACAAGTTGATTCCGTTTTGTTTAATGAGAGACTGATGATTAAACTTGAAAGTTAATTCATCTTTTAATCACATTTTTGACAATAAATTATTTTATAACAATCAGGTGAGGTGATGATATGATGATGATCATCATGATATAAACGTTAAATTGTTCTAAAAGTTTTAAATAATCAGAGAGAGAGAGAGAGAGAGAGATGAGAAGGGAAGAAGACAAAAAGTTAACGCATCGATTAATCCTGGAGCTCATAAGTTCTGATTCAGTTCTGAGGAGAGATGAAAAAACTTATTCTCAATCTCTGGATTGTATTTTAATAGTTGATGAAAAATTGTTTATCGATAAATAATGAATTTGAATTTTTTTTCCCAACCTTCCAATAGGCTTGAAAGTGATTTGCTTTTATCTTATTTAAGTTTCTTATCATCAACTTTTATCACATTTTCCCTCATGAAAGGTAAGTTATGACTCTGAACTTTTCATGAGTAACCTTAGCCTATTACCTATTAACTTGTTCGGGTGAAATTTAAATTAGCTCTTTCAGAGGAAGAGATTGTCTCAAAGGAGTTTAAAGTTGAGGAAGAGGTTGATGATTATGATGACGGTGGTGATGATGATCACGATGATAATAAAGATGATGATGGTGATGATGATGAAAGAAAGAGAAAGAGAGAAAGGTAAAAGATGAGAAAAGCTTATGTAAATTATATTCATATCGATAAAATCATCTTCCTCCCAAAGGGATGTTGTTACTCAAGTTACTTTTTTTATAAGATGTTCATGATAAATGATGCGCTGATTTATAGTTTTACATTGAGATGAGGATGACGAAAGGATGGAAAGGATGATAAAGTGAGGGAGTTGAGAAGATTTTGTAAATTTCGATTCTTTTTTTGTATTTTTTTTCTTCTTTATATTGTAGGGAAACTTTTACTTTCTCTCTTTCTCTAAAAACAATTCATCATGAAAACAGGAAATTGGGATGAAATTGTTATACCTCAGATTCAATGAATCAAATGAATAAAGATTTCAAGAGTTTTCTACTGAATCAGAAATTTCAAAAGATACAATTGTTACTCTTTTATCTCATGATCATCAACAGAAATTCAGTTCAATTGAAATTGACAAGTTCTGTTCACAGGTAATTGAAGATTTGAAATATCTTTTAAGCGATTTATCTTCATCTTTTCATCTTTCATTCAGAGAAAAGAACTCGAATTTTACCCAATCAGCTTAATCAATCATCATTTCAATTTCGAAACATAAAATTCTAAATGGTAATAGAAATTAACTAATCAGGAAAAGAAAAAACGAGAACCAGAGAATCGATATCTTAACCGGCCAGTTAAGGAGTATGAACTTTCCCCTTTCCCGATTTCTAAACTGTCCTAAATTGTGAATCGATAAGTTGATCATCGAATCGATCAAGTCAAGTAATTACAAGTCACCATAATTACAACGAAAACCATTGGACACAATCCGTTTTAACGAAAACTGCTAATTGTTTTTTCTTTTTCTCTGGAACAATTAATGGGACCCATTTTGTTGAGCTTCATTAACATTGTGACTACATTGTATCAACTGGATTGATTGTGATCATCAAAAAGTAATCATCATCATCTGAATCAGATTCCCATGTGAAGTCAGGGAAAACAATGAAAAAAAGTAAAAGAGGAACATAAAAAAGAGGAACATTTTCCCTCCACATCCATTGTAATGACTTTTGGACCATTATTTGGACACAATCTGAGCACAAATTGTATTTCCAAAAGCATCATGAAGATCATCATGATGCCTCATCTTTATCATCTTCATCAAAACAAAAGATAAATGACTTGAGCCTAAAGAAAATCAGTAAGGAGAAAAAAATTTGTAGACACAACTCAAAGTAGTAATAAAAAGTGATAAGAACATTTTTTTCATGAGATGATTCATGTTTTCCATGATCATTGTAGATATTTAATGAATGATTAAGTCCAGAATTGAGGACCAATAAGTAGTAAGGTTGATAAAGGTTAATAAGGTAACACATTGGTGATGGAGAGAAATGATAATCTGTGAAAACCGTAATTGGACTCGAAAATCTTGAATAGAATATGTTTCAACTATGGAACGAGAAAAGTATTGGAAGAAAGAGAGAAAAAAATTCGAAAATTTCAGCTCGAAATGTTTTACCCTCCGTGTTAATAGATGGTAACAACTTGCCAGTCACGAGAAGGTCATTAATCAAACGAAACTGTTACTCGAAGGAGTGAAAACAGTTCGAGGGAAGGGAAAAGTGAGAGAGAGAAAAAAAAGTTCTGTATATAATCAACAATCTACGATAATATCCTTTTCTCATCATGAAACTGAACTTTATTATTATTATATTGTTTACTTGTTATTCTTAACCATTATCATTGGAAAAACAATGTTAAGGAAGTTGAAATAATTGTATAAAAGTTAACATGTTAAAGTGATTAGATGAATTAACTGAATTGTTTTAATGGAGAAAAACAAAATTCGGGAATTAATAATGATAATTGTTAGTAGTAAGGAAAAGATTGCTTCTGGCTCATAAGACATTTCTGGCTCAGAGTTGACATCTCTGGCTCAAGTGACATTTCTGGCTCAAGTGACATTTCTAACTCAGGTACATTTCTAACTCAGGTACATTTCTGGCTCAGGTACATTTCTAACTCAGGTACATTTCTAACTCAGGTACATTTCTAGCTCATATTAAAACCAACATTTCGTATACATCAGAACTGACATCTCTGAAACAGATTATCATTTAATATACATTTCTAACTCATATAAAGTTGACATCTCTAGAACGAGAGGCAGTATATAAGAAAGAAGGAGAGTGGATTAAAAGTTAAAATGCATCTACTCGTGATAAATTTCATCATTCTGTGTCTACTCGTTATACTGTTAATAAAGAGTATCTATTATGGCAACATCAAAGAATCAGGGATCGTCCTCGCTTAAATATGACATTGTTAATGTAGTCTCACTTTGGAACATCGGTCCAATACAAATTAATGTGGATAATTCAAAGAGAAAGAAACGGTTCAATGCGGAGGTTGTGAGAAGAAAGGAAGGTGTCTTCTTAGTGTTTGCATCGGGTAAAGTGACAGCCACAGGATTCAAGAACATAAACGGAGCTGGTTCATGTTTACAAGAGATATACCCTGAGAGGTCTGTTGTTTTCGTTAAGGTTGTTAACATCACAGCCCACAGTTTTCTTCCCTACTCATTTGACACCCGTGCCATGATAGCCAATTATCAAGATACAACATATGAGCCTGAGATTTATCCAGCGGTATACATCAAAACGGAGAAGGTGACATTAATTTATTACACCACTGGTTCAGTGATAATAACAGGAGCCAAAGAACAAGATGAGATTGATATAGCGTTAACTATGTTTGTCAATCGAACGTCATTGACCCGCATTTAACATTTCTGAAACATTTGATATACATTGAAACTGACATCTCTGGAAGAGATTATCATTAATATACATTTCTAACACACATAAATTTGACATCTCTGTAACAAGAGTCTGTATATGAACATGACATCTCTAAAACAATAAATCTCTTAAACATTAAATCTCTGAAACATTACATCTCTAACTCAATCTATTGCACATGCGTCGAGTCAAATCAAATAGTATATAAACGGAGTGAATCTTGAGGAAAATCATCAGTTTTCCTTCACCTTCACTAGAGTTACTTTCACCGGTCTCCAAGTTTTGTTGTGTTCAATATGGAAAAAAGAATGAAGTTTTTCACTATCTGGAAATTAGGAGTAACCCTTCGGATAATGTTCACTGATAAGGTCCGTCGAGTTGATATACGGTCATTCAACAAGGGTAATAAATGTGGTGTGAGTCTAACAGCCTCCGAGTTAAGACTAGCTTTCTACCATGCTGAGTTCTACAATGAAGACTCTCAGGGTCTCAACTACTTTGATTTAAAGATTGAGAAGGATGGTCCCAAGACGTTTAAAATCAGTAAAGGAGGTAAACCTGGTATCGTGTTATCAACTGGCCACTTCGATTACTGGAGACCGCTACTTCTCGCCATGGTATACTTAATCTCCGAAAAAGATTTAGCAATCCAACAACTACTTGATCTCAAGTATTTATCATCTAAGATATCAATTCAAGATTTGGTTAGACGACGATGGAGTGATCTCACCGAGGATGAATATGTTCCAGAGGTGTCTTTTCTACATGATCTTGGTATCATTGAGCCAGAAATGTATAAACAGTGTAAAATCGATTGGGAAGCACTTAATTCATTTTATAAATCAGATCCACTTGTATTTGAGTCTCTCGCCAAGTTCATGTATATATAAGATGAGACAAAACAGTGTTAACCATCATTTTGATTTCAACCTTCATCAAGTAAACATGGACCATATTTGTGCTTATTTCGACACCCAAGGATTCTATATCAACAACCTTTTCCATCCTGCTGAAGTTGCCTTGTTAGCTGATGGCTGTCTCATCCACCTTAAAGTTCGAAAGGGTTGTGATTGTTCTCTCTCTCAAGATGAAAAAAACCAAGCTAAATATCTCACCACTTATCTTCACGGACTAGAGATCAACAATGAAGGAGTTTCTCCTCAGGAGATGAAAGAGATAATCGTAAAGTACTTCAGAGCCAGTCGGAAAAATGGTTACGTCTTGGCAGCATGTAAGTCAAAGCAAGCGGAAGAGTTATT